ATTATAGATTTGCGACTCTCATATTCCTCACGATACATCATATATATTGGACCGAATATAAAGGGCCGATTATTGGTCAGAAACTAGATGGAAGTGTAGTAAGATGTTTTAGGATGACAGCAGGTGCTGTCTAGTTCATTTACAGTCGAGTTTCATGCTCAGCGTCATCAGAAACGGTGCATATCGGAAAACGACAAAACTTTATGACGTCACTGTGACGTCATCTTAGGTGCCACAACCACCAAACTTTCCTCAAACATTGCCTAGGTATTCATTTGAAGCTATGCCAAGTTTCACGTTCGTAGCTCATCAGGTTTCGGAGATTTTTCACAAAACGTAAAGGGGGGGCAACTTTATGCCCCCCCCCAGCGGCTCGTGGGTTAAAGCGTTCAAACATGGGATATTATGTTGCTCCCATGCATTAGGATGGGTGTCAAGGTCACCAGAAGGTCAGGTAAGGTCACTGACCTTTGATGATCTTGGTTCACTTTTTCGAGTTTTACATGTTTCTAGGCTAGTTTTTGGAGCTGACTTCGAATCTAGCAACCATTTGAACATTTACTATGTAGCTTTGGTGCCTTCGTAACATGTTACAAAGTTGTCAGAGGCGGTTGCCACCTACCTACTGCAAATACCCGGCAAAACCCTTACTGGTTGACCTGACCTGACCTGACCCGACCTGGCCTAAATGTATGAAGACATCATCTATGATCGTAAATGACATTATATTCGTGATCAGCACCCAAAAAACCCATAGCAGCCACCCTTTACGACGTTCTAGCAGATCCCGATTTTCCCGACTTTTGGGTCATTGACCTGACCTGGAAGGTCAACCGATGACCTAGGACCTTACAATTGGGTATCATCAGCTTCCTCTTGTCACGGGCAACACGCTCGTCTTTTCCGTGAAGCTCTAGCTCGATCAGGGGCGAAACGGCGGGGGGGGGGGGTCCAACGGACCCCTTCTATACGTTCGCGGCTGGAAAAACACCACTAGGGGCGAGGGTTAAGCCAAATCTGAGGGCTTTTTCAGAAAGACCGCTAAAAGAGCAATTGAATGCACTTTTCCGTGACGATGTAGCTCTATTGGTCCCCGAGGTAAGGGCCGGTTTTCAAGAAATGTTGATATATGCAACATTTTACCTTTGATGACCTCTGGTGACGTGACCTTTGACCTGACCTAGAAATGACTAACTACCTCATCTGGGATTTCGGGCGCTCTTTCGAATGCCATTTACTACGTGTCGCTATGTGGCCCAAGAGCCGAGTTAGAAGGGTAGTGTTCAATCAACACCTCCCGGCCCGGCGCGTTTGACGCCGAGCACCGGTCCGGCGCGGGTTGATGTTTGGCTGCTACATCCAAAGTCGCAAAAAGTCGCAAAAAATGACTGTTGGATCTTGTAGTGCAATGAATCATTGACATGTAGCGAGATTTTCGAAGCGGTACTCTGCGGTACTTTTTTTAAAAGTCTATTTGTGTGTGACATCAATTATGTGAAATTATATTTTCGTCTTTAAATCTTTGCGGTGCCAATACATCATAACCAAGTAAGAGTTCGCCATTTTCATGTGGTTATGTGTGTTCTGGAGACCCGGAGCTATCGTTTGATGTATATAAATGTGGAATTCCTCCTTAAATTGTGATTGTTTTCGTGGATCAAAGATACGTTGTTGAAGAGTGCGGGGGACGAGTTCGGTCCAAACGATTCCGAGGTTCGTGTTTAAGCTGAGTTTTCGCCATGAAATAGCAATTGTGTTGGAAAACAAAGACCACAGCAATGTAGTATGATCATTTTTGAACAAATTGGTATAGGTTTCATTGCACATCCACAAAGTTCGATTTTTTTACCCATGTCGTGCTAGACCTGGCGATCGGCCCAGTGTGCGCCGTCTTCCACGTATCGCTACGTGGCCCAGGAGCCGAGTTAGAAGGGGGGTGTTCAAACACCCCCCCCCCAGCAGAGCGTGGAAATCCAGGACCCCCAGCCGGGCGCGGGTTAATATGGAGAGTGTTTCAATTGTCAATACATAACTACATACATAGGTACATACAAGATGTAGCCGGCTTAAAGGGACTATCCCACCTTTAACATGGGGTTTGAGTTGAGATAGCCAAGTTTGCGGCGAGGTTCAGAAACCACTATCTATCTAGGTTGCAACCCCCGCGGCCTCTTGGTGTTGAAGAAATTCGTTCCATTCATTTGAAAATGGGCCTTGCACAAGGCCCTATCTTCAACATGGAGCGACCGTTAGTGTGACGTCACCTCGTTCAGTCATTCTGATTTAAATGGGGTTGTTCGTTGAAAAATCGCTGAAAACTTGGTCTGAACTTTGTTGTGGTGCCTACAGAGTAAAAAGAATCAGCTTTATGACAGTAAGGTGGCCTGGGGAAGGAGGTAATTTTGGGCTGTGACGTCACATATTTGAAAGTTTGTGTTTGGAATATGGGAAGCCTAAGATGTTTAATGAAAAATAAATGCCAGAACCGTGTTCCTGGTCATCCAATCTATAAAGTCGGGCACAATTTAACTGGTTTTAATAACATTTTAGAAGGTGGGATAGTCCCTTTAAAGGGACTATCCCACCTTGAAAAAAGTACCATTTAGGATTCGGAATTGTTGCTCATGATATTGTGACGAATTCTGCAAGTTTTTACGCGTTTTCATTGCATACTTTTTGAGATATTGCGACCTTTATATTTCATCGTGACGTCATTTAGATCGGATCTGTGACGTAATGAAGGATTTACTTCATGTCAATGTGGGGGAAATTTGGCAGCAAATATAGGTATTTGCTCTCAAATATGACGCGGCTCATACAATAACAAGTGTCTCTGATTAGCTTATTCGTAAATCAAGTGAAACTTCACATGCGTGACAGGCGTTCAAAATGCAAATGACGTCATCAAATGGCCGTTACTAGTTAAGAGATAGGGCCTTAGCTAAGGCCCACTTTTCAAATGAAGGGAACGAATTTCTTTAACACCACGAAACTGAGGATATTGCGACCAGGATTATAGTGGTTTCTGAACCTGGCCGCCAACTTGGCTATCTCAACTCAGAACTAATGCAAAGGTGGGACAGTGGGATCGGCCGACGCGGGAAACGCGGCAATCACAATTTTGTGTTTACACACTCATACCTCAAGTTGTTACCAATTGATTTTCAAAATTCTTTAACCATAAGATTGCCTGTACATTTCTTAGTCTTCTCACAAAATTTGACGCGAATAGAATATAATCAGCGGTAAGGAGCGCGATGTAAAGACGGAACCGTCCCGCCCCGGCACAGTCTACAATTTATGCAGCGCGTAAGGGCTGGCGCCGGCCGCCGCACCGCGCGCCGTGCCGTCGCGGCGGCAGAATGTTTGACTTTACACCGCTATTACTAGAAAAGCTGTGAACCGATGTTCTTATCTCTTGAACGAGAAGATCTGCAATTCAATTCTGGACAGGTAGTCAAAATTTCACATTAATGTTGTGCTTGCGGCGGGAGTTATTGGCGAAAAATAGGAGGGGTGGGCGAAATCCCCCCTTCCACTGCTCGTCTTAACCCGCGCCGGGCCGGGGGGTGTTTGAACACATCCCCCCTGCGGTTTTTCGCAGATATCTAAAAAACGGCGGCGCTCCGGGCATCTTTTCCGCACATGTTGTGAAAATTTCAGACCCAGGTCGCCTTAGGTCAGGTCACCAGGTCACGCCAAGTGACCTCACCTCAGAAAAAATAAGAATGCTCGTCATTGCTACACGGGTTGATCGATTGCCTTGAAACTTACAGCGATTGATTAGAGCAACATTATCTATAAAATGTTTATCTCGTAATTTCGATATCAGTGACCTAAGGTCAGGTCAATTTTGCGGCCTCTCCACTATAAGTCAATGGGAGAAAATTGAAAAGCGTCTGTTTGGCACGAACGCTATTCTAGACACTCTCAAACATCGAGATGTAGGTAAAATTGACACACTAAACCGGAAAATGGCAACTCTGACCCCTCGTTATGTCTCCGAGGTCATCTTAGGTCACGAACAGAATCTAACAGTTTTTTGCTAATAACTTCTTATAGAGACGTGCTAGAGCGCTGAAAACGCCTTGGATGTGTTTGGCTCGACGTTGCGGATCGACTGATATGCAACATGACCTTTTCCGGTCAGGTCATGACCTTGACCTGATGTCAAATTTTCAAGTTGACCTTTCAAGGTCAAATTATAGTTCATTCGACGCGTCTCGACAAGAGGAACACGATGCTGGCAAAAGTAATGTCATGGCTCTTTTGAGTCAAAAGTTATTGCCGAAAAAAAAACGCTTTTCGTAAAGACGGCTATTTTTGTAGTTTTTGCCCTCTGGAGGCTAAACCGTTGACCTGAGGTCAAATCTGAGACCATTATTCAGAAAAGTCTAAAAGGGCTATCGAATGCGTTTTTCCGCGGCGCTGTAGCTCTATCGGTTCCCGAGATAGCCGTTGGCAGTTTCCAAAATGTTGAAATAGTCAACATTTTACCTTTGGTGACCTGTGGTGACCTGACCTTTGACCTGACCCCAAAAATGACCAAGTGTTTTCGTCCTTATTTTGGACGTTCTTTCGATTGCCGCTTACCGCGTGTCGCTACGTGGCCCAGGAGCCGAGTTAGAAGGGGGTGGGTGTTTAGACACCCCCCCCCCCCGGCCCGGCGCGGAATCTCAGAGCACCGGCCCGGGGCGGGTTAAATTAAATCTTGAAAATGCCATCGAAATCGCGGTAGTTTTGGTAGCAACCGTTGTATAATACCTTAACAGACTGCTCCGTGCTAATCATCCAGCTTTGTCATCTGGAGAAGACTTCAATTTTAAGCGAATGCTATTTTTCATTTTTGTGGATTTTCTTGCGTTCATAGAGAAAAAGTACCTTCCAGCATATTGTATGCTTGCTGGACTATCAGGTATTATAACAAAGAACGACCGATTCACGATCGTTGTAGCCTGCCAATTTATTCTCATCCTGCGTGTTTGATCATTTTTTTTCAGATGGTAGCAGAGCTGGATCCAGAGGACAGGGCCAATTATCAGAAGAAAAGAGAACTGTTGAGACGGATTGATCAGTCGCAAGAAAAGGTAAGGTATAGTTTCACCCTCGCAGTCTTTTGCCATGCGTTATATACAGAGATCTATGGTTGGTGCAGCCAATTTAGGTGAAGTGGGGGAAGCCCGCCATAGTAAAGGCCGCCGTCCACTATGCGGAGCGCTTGCGGTCCGTACGGAATTTAACACAGTGAGCCCTATGGGCGCATGCGGTCTCCGCCCGGAGTCCGTCAGGAATGTCAACGCATCCGGACAGCAAACGGAGAGCTCACGCACATCCGTTATCAGTTGTTACAAAAAGAAAATATGGCCATTGCCTAGCATCACAAGATGGTGCCATGCCAAGGAAATAATATTTATTTAATTTGTCTTGAAAGAGTAGAAATTCAATCTTAAATTTCCAATTGGAAACTCGAAGACGGGCGACGGCCCATGTCCGCATCCATTCCGTCTGCGTTCTCCGCTCACAGCTCAACACGTCGTACTTTGGTACTTCGTCCCTGCGAAAACAACTTCGGATATCGATTGCTAGCCGATTTCGACTTGATTAAATTTAGCTCGAGGGAGGTCACGCGCGACTTGCATAACTGTGACTTCCGAGTCGGGACTGAGTATAATTACGCCAATTATCAGCGATATGTGTCCACACAACATGGATGCGGTCCGCACACGATTTCCGTACAGACCGGATGCGCCAATAGGGTTCTGTGTTAAATTCCGTACGGACCGCACGCGTTCCGCACAGTGGACGGCGGCCTTAACCCTATTAGTGGCAGGGGGGGGGGGGTTGTTTTTATCCACCCCTCAGGTTTTTCGGGAATATCTCCGAAACCGCTGAAGCTACGATGCTGAAATTTTCTGACTTTTCCTAAAACTAAATTGGGCACATTCCCTGAAAATTTCAAGTTCATACCTTTACCAGGGGCGGCTCCAGAGCACTGGGAATTGGGGGGTCCTGTTCGTGAAGCGAGTCATTTGGGCGAAGATCACGATGCTGCACCAGTTTTACGAACAGTGAATGAAAGGTATCATGTGATAACATATACAAAGTTATTGTGCGTCCTCTTTTGACACGTTTTTGCTATAATAGGCGGATCCAGGCGTCAAAAAAGGGGGGTTATTTTTTACCTCCCAACATAGGTGCCCTGACACCGCCTATGCATGACCAATACAATTTTAGTCGTTCTCTCATAAGAAAATTGTAACATAACAAGACCATTGCCACCCTTTTTAGAAACAGTACCAACAAAAACCTTATTTACTATACTTTTTGTGTACCCCCAATCTCAATGATCTGTATCCGCCTATGATTTTTGAAAATGCATATTTTTAGGATCCATGTGAATTCCTGGTTCATTCTCTATCGATCGGCAAAAGTTGCGTTAAGATTGGTTCAGAAACCTGGCCGTGATAAACAGTCTAAAATGTATCTGCAATTTGCCCGTTTTTACCCCCCTCTACCCCCCTATTGACATTTTTTAATTTTATTTTTTTTTTAGAAATGTAGATCTCGTTGAGCCAAATCGAATGCCGTTTGAATTGTGAAAATCGGCCGGTTAGATCTCGAGATATCAAGGGGGGGGGGTCGTAAACAGCCCCCCCTGCCACTAATATGGGGTAGCCAGGAGCCTGCCACTAATAGGGTTAAGTCTTTCCCGTAACCAGGGCCAGATTACATACCAGTAAAACGCCTTTTGGGCGAAGAACGAGCGAGCGAGATAGTGAGCCCTGCACGTGCGGAAGGGCGAGAGGGTACTTCCAACGGGCTTGTGCAAAGCACCCTTCTAACCGGTCGCTAGCGGTGTGCCAAATTTGAACGCAATCGGCCCAGCCGTTCCTGAGATCTGGAAGCGGCATTCTGCACGTGCGCACGTGCAAACGGGGTCCAAAATGACTTTTGCACGGCACCCTACTAACCGGTCCCCAACCGTGTACCAAATTTGAGCGCAATCGGCCCAGCCATTCTCGAAATCTGGAAACGCCCCCTGCACGTGCGCACGTGCAGTAGCACCCTAACCGCAACACATGGGAATTCATTGCCTGGTGGCAGTGGCGTAGCCAGAAATCAGCGAAAGGGGGGGCCATGGTGCTCGAGGGGGCGACTTTTTCCCTTGAGAGGGGCGCCATAGTGAGCTAGTGACAGGGGGTCAGTCTAAAATGTAGCGTCATATATTCATGCATGATTTACTAGGTGTTCCTACGGAACCGGCACGAGTATCAGAACCAGGTTTCGCTGATTTTTCATGAAATCCAATTAATGCAATTTGCAGCTCAGTGTTTTTTTATCAAAAGCGATAAAAAATCTTTATGCATATTTAGCACGATATAGGAAACGAGCTCAGGCTACGGACATGTTATTCTCATAATACACACCCATTCGAATTCGAAACGGTAAAATATGCGTTGATCGATTGGCACAATCTTTATTCTTTGCAAAAAAAAACATACACGTTCACTCACTGAACCAAAATGACCTGTGGACTGCAGCCTCTCAAATATCTTCATTGAGGGCCAGTTCAATTTTGCTACCTCTCTATAAGTACCTATAAGTTACCGATTACCTATAAGTTAACCCGCGCCGTGCTGGTGGCCTGTGCTTTCCGTGTCGTGCTGGGGGGGGGGGGGGGGTGTTTTCACGTCCCCCCTCTAACTCGGCTCCTGGGCCACGTAGCGACACGCGGTAAGGGGAAATCGAAAGAGCGTCAAAAATAATGACGGAAAGACTTCGTTTCAATTTTTAGGTCAGGTCAAAGGTCAGGTCACCAGAGGTCATCAAAGGTAAAATTGAGTCCATTTCAACAATTTTGGAAACTGCCAACGGCTAACTCGGGAACCAATAGAGCTACAGCGCCGCGGAAAAGCGCATTCGATAGCCCTTTTACAGGCTTTTCTAAATATTGCTCTCGGATTTGATCTCAGGTCAATGGTTAAGCCTCCAGCCAGAGGGCAAAAATTCCAAAAATAACAGTTTTTATGAAAAGCGTTTTTTCTGCAATAACATTTGGTTCAAGACAGTGACGATATTTCTTTTGCCTGCCTCGTGTTCCTCTCGTCGAGACGCGTCGAAAGAACTATACGTTGACCTTGAAAGGTTATTTTAAAAATTTGACCGCAGGTCAAGGTCATGACCTGACCGTAAAGGGCCATTCTGCAGATCAGTCGATCCGTATCGTCGAGCTGACCACATCTGACGTGTTTTCACCGCTCTAGCACGTCTCCATTAAAAGATGAAGCCAAAAAAACCGTTTATGGTGATAAAATAGGTGACCGCTTATGACCTGAGATGACCTCAAGGGCACATAAAAGGACACATGTGCATTTTTACGATTCAGTGTGCTATGTTTACCTATGAACCGATGTTTAAGGGGTTTTAAACGACATTCGTCCAAAAGAGGCGCATTTCACTTTTCTCCCACTGACTTGAGGTCCCAAAATTGACCTGACCTTAGGTCACAGACATAAAAAGTCCGAGATGAACATTTTATGCATATTGTTAGTCTTATCAATCTCTAAAAGTTTCAAAAGTGATCGTTCTGTCGGTGTAGCTATAGCGGGTCTTTTAACTTTTTTTAGGTAAGGTCATTTGACGTGCCCTAGTGACCTGACCTTGAACGACCCTCATCTGAAATTTAACAAGCTGTGTAGAAAAGATGTATGAACAGGTGTACCAAAGACAGCGGAGGCGCTGCGCGACGCCGTTTTTGAGATGTTCGCGAGGAAAAAACCTAAGGGGGCGTACCCCCCCCCCCCCCTCCAGCACGGCGCGGATCAATGGGAGACAGTTGAAATGCTCTTCTTCTGAACGAAAACAACCTCAACAATCGGGATGCAGGTAAATATGACACATTTAATCGGTAAATGTCACTCGTGATGTGACCACTTTTATGTTACTGAGGTCATCTCAGGTCATGAAAGGTCTCCAGTAGATTTTGGACAATAACTTTTGATAGAGATATGGTAGAGCAATGAAACACCCTATATAATTATTTTCCTTCTCGAAAGTATGGATCGACTAATATGCAATATGACCTTTACCGGTTAGGTTATGACCTTTACCTTAGGTCAAATTCTCAAATGCCCTTTTAATGTCAAATTCTAGTTCATTTGACTTGTCTGTCTCGAAAAATGGAACACGATGCTGGTTGAACTAATCTCATGCAGGTCTGAGCAAAATGTAAACGTCCTCCGCGAAAACGTATATTTTGAGGCTAAAACGTTTACCTTAGGTCAAATCTGAGATAATCAATAAGAGAGAGCATAAAAAAGAGCTATCGAATATGCGCTTTGCTGCGGCGCTGTAGTTCAATCTCTTTCTGAATCCTGACTTATGCGCCGCTTTGTCAAAAAATGTCAACATCGGCGAAATTTGATTTTCGGTTGTCGCTAGTGACCTGACCTTCGACCAGTTCGACCTAGCCTTAAAATGATCTAAGTAGTTTTGTAATAGTTTTTGACGCTCTTTCGAACGCCGCCTACTGCGTGTCTCGACGTGGCCCACAAGCTGAGTTAGAAGTGGGTGTTCGAACACCCCCAGCAGGTTCAATAAAAAAACGCTTACGCTGGGGGCGGCACCCCACTGCTAGGCGCTGTCGGCATCGCAATAATGGGCGGCACAGCGCTGAGGGGCGCAACTTGCATTGAGGGGTGGCATTGTACGGTGAAGGGGCAGCGTCGCGTTGAGGGGCGGTATCGCAACGAGGGTGGCACTTACAAGGCTGCCTAATAAGGAACGCTTCGCTTGGCACATCCAAGCCCAGCTCGGCGCCGCCTAGCTGCTGCATCTTGAAAAGGGCCCTTGGTGTCGATGAGAAAGCCCCATTGTCAAAAAATTGCCTAGCGTCAGTGGTTTCGGGGGGGGGGGCGACCGAAGTATCCAATTCAGTTTCGCGTCAGTGACTACTGGAGGGCGTCAACGACCTCGGATAGGGCGAATGTGATCTTCAGAAGGGCACCGGGTGCTCTAGAGGGGTGCAATGCTTGGATGGGGTCACTGCTGCCTTCAGTAGGGCATCGGACGCTCTGGAGGGGCGCCA